AGCAGGTATTTTCTGTGCTTAACCCTGGTAAAAAGATTCTTTTATTAAATGATGGCTAATATGTAGTCTTCCCAGATCATTCACCATTCCCTTAAAGAGTGAGTCTAATCATGGCATATTTAGGGAAGGATAATGGTAGAAAATTTTGTTGGGTAGGACTTTGTCAGTCCCTCAGTTGTTAAACCACACTGGCAGCTGCCTCCTTAGCTAGGATTCAGAGTGTTTTCTGAAAGTATTGCATGCCATTCCAGCGTTTCTCAAGGTTTAGTGTGTTTATGAAAGCAGATTTTGTTGAAATGCAGATTTGTATTCAGTGGATCTTGAGCGAGGCCCATCTTTCTGTAGGACTAACATGCTCCCAGGTGGTAATGATTCAACCAGTCAGTGGATCAAACTTGGGTTGGCAAAGTGCTAAGCTATTTCCTGTAAATAAGTGACAACTGCACATTCATCAGGGAAGGAACAGAAAGGTCTTGACCACTGAAAAAAACTAAACATCACCCATTTGAGGAGATGCGTATAAATGAAACACGTAAGTGAAATATTTGATAGAGAACACATAGAGAAAGAGAAGCAGGCTGATCCTGTCTCTATCCCTATATTTATGTTATGTTTCTTCCTGTCTCTTTGCCTAGCTCGTGTAGTTCTAGAAGGGTTCTGCGTTCCATCAGTGAAGGTCCTATTCAGTTAACATCTCCTCCAAGATTACCTCAGCCCTAATATCCCCAGCTTCCCTGAAGACTCACAGCACATCACTTTTTATATTTAATCACATATTTGTCTTATGTCATGTGCCAATTTTTTCCTGTGTTAGTTTGGCCTATAAAAGGAGTAGGGAAACTCCTAAAAAGCAAGACCCAGCTATTAGTCTTCTTACATATCCCTCATAGCTATGGCATTGTGCTGAGCACAGAGCAGATGTTAAGTAAACATCACTTGCTCTTTAAATACATTATGTAAATAGATAAAAATTTAGAATTTCCCCAAAATTAATACAATTGATTAAAATTAAAAACGTATTAATAATAATTAATATTCTTCTAATTATAAAATACACTCTCATTGTAGAATATTTGGAAAATACTGAAAAGTAAAAGGAAACAAATAAAAAATAATATTTTGGCCTATTTTTTTCCAGTCTTTTCTCAAGTATGTGTAGAGGCGTGTTCTTAAAGTCATTCTTTTATGCAATATCCTTTATTTTACTCCTCGTACTGTATAAACAATTTTCATAAAATTAAAAATATTTAGGGCCGGCCCGTGGCTCACTCGGGAGAGTGCGGTGCTGATAACACCAAGGCCCCGGGTTTGGATCCCATATAGGGATGGCCGGTTCGCTCACTGGCTGAGCGTGGTGCTGACAACACCAAGTCAAGGGTTAAGATCCCCTTACCGGCCATCTTTAAAAAAAATATATATTTAAAATTTCATTTTTGTCAATAAAATGTTCTGATATATACCTATACTCATTGCCATGATGATGAACTTAAAGTGTCTTATGAATTTCTACTATTATAAATAATGTTTTGATAAATATCTCAATCTCTTCTTGTCTGTATTTTCTGGCTATTTCCTCAGAAGTGGAATTACTGAGGAATATGGTTTGAAAATGTGTTTGGACAGGGTAACATACTGAATGAGAACATCCACTTGGGAGTCTGACAGTCTTGGATCCAATTATCAGATCTCCGCATACTACTTCATTTTACTTCTTCAGGTTACTCCATTTCTTTACATTTCAGTTTCATCATTTGAAAATGAAGAAAGCACTTGTTTCATAGGGTGTTATGAGGATGAAATGAAACTACATGTTAAAAATGCATATTCATTCTACTTCATAATTCAACCACTAGGTGGAAGTGGAAGTTTATAATTCTAAAGCAGTGGTTCTCATGCGATCCCCAGCAGCAGCAGCAGAACCTGGAAATTTATGAGACCTGCAATTTCTCCAGCTGCACCCCAGAACTACTTAATCAACATCTCTGGGGGTGGAGCTCAGTAGTCCGCTTTGACGAGCACTCCAGGTGATTCTCATGCACTCAAAAGTTTGAGAAACACTGTTCTAATATATATTTACATTTTTCTCGATTTATTGCCTAGGCAGAGATAAAAGCCAAAGACAATTAACACAATGCAATTTACAAGTGTTGCTGACTGCTACAACAGCTTTTTCAAGTGATATACATACATAACATATGCCATGTATCCTTACTTTCATAAAAATCTATGAGATAGTTATATTTACTCCCATTTTTCAAAGGAGGAAACAATCTTAGATTGAATTAATTTGCCCAATGTCATTTAGTCACTTAGAGTCTGTATTCTAACCTAGGCCCTGAATTTATCTACTAGACTACACCCAAAGCCAAGACCTGGAAAGTCCATTAAAAGGTAATTATCCTATCCCAGTGCTCCCAGGTCAGGGAGTATGTGCATGTCTGTTTATGAGTGTGTATACATCTGTGTATTTGTAATTGGAGAAAAGTAATTATGGTTCATTTTTAATATCAAGCCACATAAAACCATTAAAAATGACAATAATCTTAAAGTGAAAACTGAAGTGCTTAGATTGGGTCTATTGGTTTCTGAAAGCCTGGCACAAAGAAACTTTTATTGCTAACAGATATAATTTTTATCTGGCTGGTACTGAGTGTACTCACTTGGGCAAATGGCTACTTGTCAAAAATTATGCAGATGAAAAATATTTCTCACCAATAGTACTGATTTATGCTTGTCTTTTTAAAATGTTACCCATTTAGTTCAAATTTAAAAGGGAGAACAAAAAGTGCAAAAATTATAATAGACTTATGACAGGTAATAGAATTGGTCACATTAACCTCAAAATGCTACATGAGTGCTAAAAACATTACAGTGGACATGACTGTCTAAGAGCCTCAATTGATATTTATTAAGACTATGGCAGAGTGATTTAGAGTTTTCATTGCCATTTACTAGATAAGTGAACCAAATTGCCAATTACCCACTGAGATGGGTTTCTCATTTAAATATGAAAGTAATATCCAACAAGTTATTGTGAGAATTAAATGAGATGACATAAATCATTTGGCATATGAAAAATGTCCACTATCATTATCATTAAATCAGATAGATTATAATTGTCTATTTTGTTAATTCAGGCCCTGAAGAATTGCAAGATGAAATCAGAGGTGCAAAAGATTTATTAGGAAAAAACCTGTGAGGTAAAATGGGGAGAGAGCCAAAGAAGGGTGCGAAAGTCATCAGACCCTGATGCAGGAAGGTTGGGTAGATAATATCTGATGGAGGCGCAGCGCTAAGAAATTTTCAGCAAAGCTGATAGGGAGTCCCCAAGTCAGTGACCCATCAGAAGAGTCCTGTGTCTCTGAGGAACTGATCTATCTCAGTAATCCTACCACACTCAGTCATCACCGGCTGGAGCAGCTTATATGAAGCGTGACCTCACACAAACTCAGTTACAGATATCAGAGCCATAGGTTACACTCCTTGTAGAGAACAAAGAGGCTCCTTTCATGGCTGCCACATCTACATTGATTTCTTAGTGCACCCCTGCTAAACATTCCACTAATACAGCAAACATATGAATGAAACTTACAGGAAGGCTTTAATCTTTCTTCAATAATTCTCAATGAAGAGCCACCATCTACTCCAGATTTATATCACATAAGTTAATATTTACAAAGCACTTATGTTGGTGCCTAGCATACAGTAAGTGCCAAGTTGTTATTAATATGGTGATATTAGTGATTAACTAAACTTCTGAAAGAGAGAATATCTGCAGGACTATAAATTTTCAGTCCTCTCCCAGCTAGCATTTGATGAGGTAATAATGCTGGAATAAGGGTCTTTCATACAAGAGTCTGAAGTGTGGTGACAAAAACTTTTTCTATTATTGGTACATAAAAAAACTAAAATAAAGATGGAGAGAGAGTAGAGGGGCCTGTTCAGAAGCAGTCTCCCATAAATTCTCATAACACTGTGGAACCTATCTCTGCCTTTATCGGATTCTGCCAAATAATTGCAATTCTTGATGTATATGTCTTATCTCTTCACTTAAGCTGAACTCATGTTTATTTATTCAACAAATATGTATTGAGTGCCTCTCTATGCCAGACACTGTTCTAGGTGCTGGGGATATACCAATGGACAAAATTTAAATGCCTGCTCTTGTTGAAATTACACTCCAGTGGGGGGATACCATAAACATGATAAATAAATAAATTATGTAGTCTACTAGAGGGTGATAAGTATATGGTGAGAAGTAAACTAAGATAAGGCAATGGAATTTGATATTTTTAGAAAGTGGTCAGGTGGGCCTCACAGAGAGGATGACAACTAAGCAGGGTTCTAGGGAGTGAGCAGTGATGGTGACTTTCTGGAGGGCACTCACCATAACATAATCATCACAAAACAGTCCTGTGCATATGGTTAATATTCAATAAATGTTTACTGATTAAAGATTTGGCTAAAACCACATGCTAAACTGAAGATCAGTCAAGAATAGATGTATCTTTAGAACATCAAAACTATGATTCCTACTGAAGCACCAGAGTGTCCTATCCTTATCCCTAAAGAAACACTGAATACTCAGTATAAGTACAGTGGAAATTATTTAAAATGACTATTTCACCATTAAAAAAAAAAAAAGGAAACAGAACAATGGCTCTTCAAGAAACTGACTTTTACTAATCATCCTCCCACTATTTGATATCCAGAGTCAGCATTTACCTTATGGTAATATCCTTAGAAAAACTGTATTTATCCCTTGGCCTTGGCTATCTGCCACATGATAAACATTGTATTTATCAGGAAGGACCTTGCCTTCTTATTTAATTTTAGGTGTAAAACGACAAAGCCACCTCAAATATGTACATGTATGAATTCAGTGATTGATGCACCATTACATAATACTTACAAATTGCTCACCAATATCAAATTATATTTAACTTATAAGAAAATTAACACAAGCAAACTTTTCTCCAATAAAGTATTTCACACAGGTATATGCTTATGAATCTATTTAATTGTTCAAACTGTGATAGAAAATACATATTTTGGAATACATATTTCATTAGACTTACAACATAGATGATTTCCAATGAGATTTCTTACACTAACCTGATTATCAAAATAAATTTTTTTTATCAAAAAAAGAATAATCTGTATCATCTGCTGCCATGTCTGTATATTATGTCAAAATATATTTTTCAATTATGCATTTAATTATATCACTTTTGGCTAATTGTTTTCATATTAGAGATCCTATTTTAAATTATTTGTATAAATAGTTATGAAACTTGTTTTGAATTATTATTTTTCCGATGAAGACATATAATTGACCTGTGTTTATACATATATTTTCTCTACACAGTGAAACTTTTAAAAAAGAGAATAGTAGGGAAAATGCAAGAGCTCGGGCTCTCCAAGGCAAAGTCAAAGAAAGGCAACATTTAATTTCACCTCCTGATTTTTACTTTTTGAGTTTTATATTCTCCTCTTGCCTAATTGAGAGATAATTGCCTAATAAAGATAAAAAAATGTTACTATTTCAGTTATTTGGGGGGAAAGTTAGTTTTACATCACTGAAGAAAAATCTTGGTTCCAAGTTCATTTGTAGTAAACATATTAACTTTCTGAATCAAAATGGAGAGCCTCTCAAGATAAAGAGTTGTGCGATCAGCAATGACTTAAATTAGTCAGGGTAACAGGAATCTGGGGTCAAGGCTGCTTCCACCATTTTGGTATTACCATCATAAGTAAGTGGGACCATAGTTGTGTAGCACTTGTTTCTGTTATAAGTGTAGCAGGTCTCTGTAGCACTGTCTTCATTACAGATATTGCTCTGGGTAGCAATAACTACATGATTATCCAGCTCCACTTCTGTAGGATCACATTTTTTACAGCTGAAAAACAAATATACACATGAGAATCTCCATCAAATGCTGTCTCAAAATCTGAGTGAATATACATATCTATCCAAAATCATCTGGAGCATGATCTGACTGTTAACAAAGGATGACTCCTTTCAGACCTGAACAGCTCTACAATGCAGAGTGGTTTGAGATTTTTCAATTTTTAATACATAAAAATTAGTTGAAAGTAAGCAATATAATTAAAAATATGATTAATGTGATTGTTTTGTCTACACCCTACAGCAGCTTCTACTATTAGGCTTATTCCCAACTGTATACCTGTTTAAATGAGTAATTTAACAAAAAAGGAAATATTTTTTTAAAAAGTGTGGTGTTCGATTCTATCATTTCCAAAAAAACACCTGTATGTTGATAAGCTAAAACCCACATATTGAACCATTAAAATAAATTGGCCCTTCCTGTATACATGGCAATAATATCTTCTTTAGAATTCATATCTTTAGAATTTATATTTAGACAAAGTTGTATAGATTTATGATACATAATAATTAACATAGGAATTACTGTATTTAAAAGTTCAGATTATATTTCTAAATGTTGATACCCCAACATATTTTCAAAAACATTCTTTCTAACAAGGTTAATTAAAAGTTATTAACTTCCACATCTATATTGGTATGAAGGAAAATCTCTTACAGGTCAGACAAATGGTACTCGAATTTGGTTCTCAGTGGTGATGTGGGATCAGAGATGTTCTCCCTGCTGTTCAGAGGAACACTAAAAAAAGAAGAAGAAAAAACAAAGTAAAATAATAAAATGCAAATATTGTTTTTTTGATAATAGGTATATTTCTAGAACAGTACTACTATTTCATCAGAACGGTACTTATCATAAACTTTAGCACTCCATAAGCACTCTATAGTAATACTATTACTCAGATTTTTACAGCAATTTGCTGTACACAATACAGTATTGTAATTGTATTTTTAATTGTTTAAAGTTCTCTATTAGACTGTAAATTCTTTTATGCATGGACTGTGTTTTATATAAATTGTTGTACCTCCAACACCAACCCTCAATATTTGGCACTCGCTAAGTGTCTCTTGAATGAATGAAAGTATCTATTCATTATCAGATTGTAAAGGCTCCACTAATATCAGAAAAGGCTTGAAATAATGTGAAACACAAGGGAAATACATTTATGAGAATCAACTGTGAGCCAAATACTGTTCTTTCATAAATTATTATAAAATTAATCTTCACAAACCTGTAAAGCATATGTGTATATATTCACATGTACATAATTATCCCTTTTTTACAGTTTAGGAAACAGACTCAAATTAATTAAGTAACTTCCCCAAAGTCTCATCATTTTAGTAAGTGATGGAGCTGGGAATTATGCTGTAATGACACAGCAATGGTAATATATTTTCAGAAATAAGATCAGGGAACACCAAAATACATCAGGCAAAGTGGCATAAAGTAAGTGAATTATCTGATTTCAGTAAACAATATAATATCATAAAATGAATCATGTCATAAAAGAAAAAGATGAATTAGAGAATGATGGAGGGACATTAACAAAATCTTCCCCTGGAGATTTAAACATAAGATAGGCACTCTTCTTCAACATGGTTGAGTTCCAATGCCATGGATGCCACCCCCTTCCAATCATGTGCTTCTCCAATTGTTCTGTCCCCAACAGGAAGATATATGGGGCAGGACCTGAGTGATCAAAGAAAACTTACTAGAAGAAGCAATGGCTAAACTAAGACATGTAGATTGAGAAGGAGTTAACCAGGCTGACAGGGATGGGAGAAGGAGTTCTTCAAATAGAGGAACTAGAAAGTGTAAAAATAGAAAAGGTAACACCAAGGACCAGGGTTCAATCCCTGTACAAGCTAGTTGCCAAAAAAGAAAAAAAGAAAAAAAGAAGAGGAGGAGGAAGGAAACACTTTGAATGTGAAAAAATAAAAACATTATAGTACTTCTTGATTTTTAAACATAAAGTAAAAGAAAAGCATCAACAGATGGTCTTCAGAGTTATGCTAAGCTTTGCAGATTAGGCCAGAGCATTTGTAATATATCCTAAGAACAATGTTGGGAAAACCATCAAAGGGTTTTAAGCAGAACAGTGACACAATGATAACTGGTACATAGGTTAGGTGAATAAATAATAGCAAATAGTTTTTGAATATGTGCCAGGAAGTATACAAGCTCTAAAAGGAATAGACAATCTCTATTTTACAATAATTTGACAAGGTAGGCACTATTTTTCCCCTACTTAAAGATGAGAAAGTTGAAGTTCAGAGTGGATAAGTAACTTGTACACAAGAGTACACAGCTATTAAGTGACCCAGCCAGAACTCGAAACAAAATTCTTAAACACACTATACTTTCTCCACTGATTGAATGAAATTGAATGTTACGTTCTCTTTCTATAAGAAGTTTTTGTTTTTGTTTTTATTTTTTTGATAGTGGGCTGGTACAGGGATCCAAACCCTTGATCTTGTATAAGAGGTATTTTACTGAGAGAAAACTATTAAGGTAGGAATGGTTCAAAAAGAAAATTTATTACTGATTGGATCCAGAAGGAATCTAATTTCTCAAATATTATTAGAATTCTTGCTATTGAATAAGATCTGCATAGCATAAAACTCTGGACTATGTGTGAAGTGAAATGAATATCTAAAGTCCAATCTACAAGTGAAAATTGAATACAATTAGTCAATTTGATCAGTCTGCCTTATCTTTGTGCAGACATTTGAGTACTGTATGAAATACTCAGTAGTCCATATATGGTACAAAGTAAAGCCTTCAGTGTTATCTGAAGTTTCAGTTTGAACTGATCAAGGGCAACTGAAAGTTCTGATTCAAACTGAAATAACTTCATACATGCAGGGTATGCTGATGACTAGATCAGAACCATCAATTATAGTTTGATTTAGCTGACTGGTTTTAGGTTGCCTGGAAACTTCTGTTCCTGCCCACAGCTCTACAAAATTGCCTCATTAACAAGATTCAACCTCATGTAAGGTGTTAAGATCAAAAAGAGGAGTAAATACAGAGATATTACATTAAAACAATGCTTAATATCAGAAAGTATTTGTTCTTACAACATAAAAGATATATATATGGAATGCCACATACATAATTCGGATGTTTCTCTCCACAATGTCCTCATTAGGGTCTTCAGAAGTAGAACGGATGATCCTGGAAGTAACCCGGGCACACTTACATTTGTTGTCAGCAAGAACAATCATTCCATCTTCATCATGGGCTTGAAAGCAAAACATATTAAGAAGAAAGGAAAATAAAAGTCTATTTCTACACTTTTTATTCAGTTAATGTATCTTTCTTGTCTGCAGAAAAAAGTTTTATGGTTGATCGGTCTCAGCTTTCTCCATTTGTTCTCTTTCCTAATCTAAAATAGCTTAAGTGGAATCTCATGTTATAGTGAAGCAAATCCAAATGTACTCTAAAAGGAATTTTCTTTTTCCTTGGACCAGTCTATGGGAATGTTGGCTGAAAGAATTCTGATTTTCATCTAATGCTTCTAATAGAGACACAGTTCTCTGAATGATGTAGCCTTGTAAAAATCAGTGCCAAATGCCAAAGTGAGAGAAAATGAAAACCTAGATCAGACTTCTCCTAGGCCAAAATAATTTATTCAAAAGTGAACCAAAAATAGCATTAGCCTTTCTAAACCCAGTTTGAAATGTCACATCCATCCTGAACTCTCATTTGTACTTTAAAAAAAATTTTTTTTTTTTTGCTTAAATTGCATTAGAGAACAGGCATGTTTTCCCCCAAGGCAACCTTATATTGTAAGACTTAAATATTCTCCACCACAACTTTCCTAAACTAATTAGATTCTTCCTTTTCATAATAACAATTAGATTATAATGGTACAATGATTCAATCAAATAAAATAAGGGCTATATTTATTAATATTTCTTATAAGAATTACTTTAAAAGATAGAGCATATAGATGAGAGGTGCTCTAAATTTGCAAAAGCAATTTAGAAGATATTGTGAGGCACATGCTGAATTTAATATAATATGCCTGGTATGGAAAAAAATGAATAAATGAATTAATACACAGATGACCATTAAAGCCTTCACTTTGAATGTCAATATTTATTGTCTAATCTGAATATTAGACAGAGGTCTGGTAAGGGTTGCAAAGAATACAAAAAGAAAATTTCTTATTATCTAAACTTGGATCAGTTAACAGTATTTGAACAGTTAATAATAGCTTTATTTAATAGTACTTATAAAACAGTAATAATGTTAAATATCTTTTTTATTCCTATAATTTTAGCTGTGACCTTTTAAAATTCCTCCCATTAAACCTCAACTGACAAAACAAAGATTTAGCACATGAATTCAAGTTATAAAGTTTAAATGATCAGGATAGATATAATTTTAACTGGAAAGCTAATTATTCTTGAGATGATTCCCAGAGAAGAGAGGATCTAATTGCAGTATTCTCATCTTAATGGTAACAGCCATTACAAAAACATTTTAAGACCATTGTTACTGCACTTATAACTGTTTGAAGTACTTTATAATGCATTCTTATGCCATCATTCAGAAGTTCTTAATAAATCTTCTGACACAAGTCTGCATGGTATTAGAGAAGAAATACTATAAAGTCAATTCTAGATAATGGTATAACTCTTATTAGCATTCTGAAAAGAGTAAAATGACTTAAATGGTGTCTTCTTCCCTACTTCTGTATCCATGACTCTTAAATGTTTTCCCCAATGTAATATAAATGAGCATATAATGCTTGACTAAAAATATAGATTGAGTCCAGTAAGTGACTTGACTATTAAGTCTTAAATAGAAAATGTCCATATTCTATTACAGCATATATTTCCTTACCAGAAAAGAAATTGGGAAAATTAGAAAAAGAAGATAGGAAGACACTATCCTTTCTGTTAATATATAAAAATATTAGGCAACCTAATATATCTACCAGAAAATGTACAAATACTTCCAATTCACCAAGACTTAGATTCTAACATTCTCGCTCACTGACAGTCTTTCCTAATAAACCTGTTATTAAGGACTGTGCCTTACTTTTTTCAAAGAGCACCTGAGACATAGTAGGTGCATACATGTTTATATTGTACACGCATTACTACTCCTATTTTAAAATTTTAAATATTAGAAAATTATTATCCTTAATGTACATGCATTAGTACTACTATTTTTCTATTTTAAATATTAGAAAATTATTATCCTTAATGCTGTTACTATAAAAATACATATAAAAAGACTATTCTTAATTCCATTTCTGTCATGCTCTGTCTTGAAATAATAACAATAGGCTTAGTAAGTGTTAGAAACAATCCAGCTAAATTATATCACTTCTAATTTATGTGCCCTTCTAAATGAAAATTATTTAATACTGTATTTCTACATTCAGAATGTAGTCCATTTTCTACAGTTGTTTGAAAGGTCAATAAACAAAATAAAAGGAGTTCAGCCATCAAGGTTTAGACAACCTGTATAACATTATACATCGTTAAAGGGGCATTATGAACTTGTGGGCTCAGATCCAGGAAAGTTGTTAGAACGAACACCAGTCTCTTTGGGGAAATAAAATCCCAATGTTGTACTATATTGTACTTACAGTAATTATTACTTCATTTCTTCTCAATATTTACTTCAGAGACTCAGGGGATGATTACTGATTTTTAAGATTTAATATGGACCTTCATATAAGTATGACTATTTATAATTAACCAGAAACATCTATTTTCTTATTCTCTAGGTTGTAGTAGTATACAAACTACAAAGAGAAAAAGGAATAAAGAGAATGACACTGAGTCTTGTCTATGTAAAGATCACTGCCATATAAAGATTAAAGCATGTTAGAAAAAAGAGGCTAGCTAGTTGACCAACCAACCAAATCATAAACATAAATGTTTAAATCTGAAAAACAAATCCATGCTATATTTTTCTTCTATCTGAGTTCATTTTCTAAATACCACATACCTGTCACAAGAACAGCCTTAACAAAAATGGCCAGCACTCCCCAGAAAAGCAAATGGTTCTTCATCTTGACTTCACTTCTTTTGAAAGACTGGAGCGAAAAAGTCAGGGTTAAGGTGTGTGATCTATAAGGAGTGTGCAAATGATGATGCTTCTGCTTTCTTAAAATAACGTTCCAGGCAGCTAACAAACTGAAAACTATCACAACTGCGGTTGAAGTCTGAACTTTAAATTCTGCACTGAAAAGAAATGTATGATTCACATTTAAGTATTATCTTCCAAAGCATCCCCAAATAGCCATGTTTTGATGCAATTATTTTTATTTTGCATTTATATTACACAAATGTGTAAACCAGAAAACTAATAATAATTTCAAGGCAGGAGTCCATTAAGAATTTTTAAATAGGGGTTCTCAACTTTATTACCTCGATATGTTCATAATAGTATTCAAATCAAATATCTGACATTCATTGCACCTCAAACAATAAATGAAGGAAGGGAAGGATAACGAAATGAAAGCCCGTTAAAGTCCCAATTGTAACTTAAGTCAATTTTTTCTTAATCCTTAATTAACCAAGCTACCAGATTTAAATATATATGTATACATTCTGATTACTTTCAATTGCTTTATGAGCTCAAACACGGAATTGGAATTAGAAACTGGTGTATACTAGATGACTCAGTTGCCACATTTCAGTTTGATAGCAGATCAAAAGGCAGATCTTGTATCTGCCCATCTAGTAACACCTTTCAGAACTGTAAACCATGAGATGATTTTTATCTGAGATGCCTCAACAGAAAACTGAATCATTGCAGTATTTTGTGCAAATTATTTTTCATTTAATTAGTACCAAATAAAAAAAACCTGAGCTTTGGACAGAGCACTCCCATAGCTCCAACCCAACATGCTAGAATTTCCTGTCTTTTAGGCAGGGTTGGTTGCAAGAATATGTTGGTTACATTTAGATGCAGTAGCATCAAATCTCAGTTACTTTTGGTTCTCAGCTCTAATTTTTGAAGAATTTTAATAGGTAATAAAGAATACTTCAGGATCATAAGTAGGCAAGAAGATTTCATAGCTACAAGTAGGAAATGTCAGAATAAAAGAGATATTAAAAGCTAGCACATAACTGCACTCCTTCAAAGAATATGTATTGAAGGTCTAGCAAGAATAAAGTACCAGGCACTAGAACATGTACTATACCATCAAAGTTCATTCTAATTTTAATTTTTACTATCAGTAGGACTTAGAAATCAGTGGAGTTTAAGAAAAATATACTAGAATCACATGAACAATTTTATCTCTTAGAAAAAGAAAGATCTGAAAGTAAATTATTTTAGTCTATGATCAGGATGTCAAAACAAATATCAACCACTCCAAGGGCTCCTCACCACCAACTGTAGTTTCTAAATAACTAATTTATTCTATCACTCCTAAAAATAATAATAATAATTAAAAGTTAGCTGGAAAAAAAATAAATAATTTTTTAAAATTTAGCTGGATACTTTTTAAAATCACAATTTCCTTGAAAATAAATTCAATGCTAGAGTGCCTCCCCAAAGCAAGTCGGATAAATCCCTGTGGCCAAATTAAAACTTTTTTCAAACCATCTTTTGTTAATAAAAGCAAAGATTATTTAATTCATAATTACTAACCTAAAGAAACACTCGATATTTCATGCTTCTATTCTTTCAATCTTGCAGTTTTATATCTCTATTGAGTAAACTGTGTATCTAAAAGAAATTACTTTAATAAAAATAAGGGTGATACTTTTGTCACCAGAAGAGAGTTACTATGCTAGCAATATAGGCTGTAGACCAGTGTTTTGACTTATGTTGTCTAGGGATAATCTGCCTAGAATCACTTGGAGTAATAGTTAAAATATGGATTTCTTGGCTACACTCAGTCAGAATTTCTGGAGATATGGCGTTGGAATATGTATTTTTGGAAAGCACCCCAGTTGATTTTCATGTGCACTAAAGTTTGGAAATTAATGGACTAGAAGCCTGTTAAGGTTGGTGGGGAATTACTAGCAGCATTAATTATTCAGGGAGAGCAAGAAGATAATAAAGGTAATTTTTTAAGCGAATAGGCTTTACTGAAAACAAATTAGGTAAAGTTTCTACTTACATTTACAATTCTGTGCTATAGGTGAATTGTTTTATATTCTCTTTATCATTAACCAACTATATGTATATATATGTAAGTATATCCGTATATATGCATGTATACATATACGTGTGTGTATATATACATGTATGTATGTAAGGTTCCAGTTTAATTTTTAAGTCATTTCTTCACCAGTTTTAGTTATGTTCTTCCCACTGAAAAACGTAAAATGTGAATAGTAGAATCCTTCACATGAGTTAAGTGACAGAGAGCTTAGCCACGTGTTCTAAAGTTTTAGCCAAAAAAAAAAGGCTTATTTTTCTACATTCATATCTAAGATTCATGTAGTAAGTGGTTCAGTGATATACTCAGCTGGATGAAAGAGAGGATAAGGTAATTTAATCTCATCTTCATTACTCTCACTCAAATTTTGTTTAAATTTCCTGTTTAACAGTCTGAGTCCAGTATTTGTTTGAAAACCATGTGAAATAGTTGGATGTTTCACTCCCTCTGGACACAGCTTATTATATTTTGGGATACTCAAACCATGACAAGATTTTATTCTCTTAGATATGGAAAATATGCTCTCCTTGTTTTCCTCCTGTCTCACCAACAACTCCTTCTGAGTCTCTTCCTGAATTTTCCTGTGAATACTCGGGGCATTAAAGCTTAATCCTCAGCCTCTTCTTTTATCTCATCCTCTCCCTAATTAATTTTATCTTATCCCATGGCTTTGAACATAGGACATGCTGAGGACCCTCAAATGTATAACTCTAGTCTTGACCTTGCTCGTTGAGCCCCAAACTCCTATATACATCTTACTATTTTATACCTCCATTTGGCTATCTAAGAGGTATCTAAAACTTAAGCAGGAAAAACAGTGCTCTTGATAACAAATCCATCCTCACACTCCCATACCAATCTCCTTCTGTCCCAAGTCTTTCCCATCTCAGTAAATGGCACCTCCATCCACCTGGTTGCTCAAGCCAAAATTCTCTGATTCCTTTCTTTTTCTCTCCCCCACATCTAATCTACCACCATGACCTATTGGCTTTATCTCCAAAATATATTTCAAATTCATCTGATTCTCACCATTTTCACAACCATCCTAGTCTAAGCCTCCATCATCTTTCCTGGTCTACTACAATAGTCTCTATAATAAAAATAACTTTTCTTTTGCCTCAGCATTGGTGACTAGGGCACACAATTGACAAACAAGAATGACTAAGTACCCCAAATTCTAAAGCAAGCCAGACACTTCTCCAAGTTTAATAAAAGGAAACAGAACTCAACTTACTTCCATTGAGCACCACCCCACCACTGCCACACTGCCATCTCCAGTCTTTAGAAGACTAGGGAGACAAACGTCGACTGTCATTGTAGATGCTGTTGGCTTTGTGTAAATAGTAGTGTTTGTAATAAGAGACCTTCCTTTACCCTTGGGAAAGTGAAGGGTAGGGCATTTTCCTCTCTCCAAAGTCAGGTGAGTGAGAGTTTCAAGGAAATCAGAAAGATCAGGGACATGAAATAAAAGGAAAGTGAGAAACAATATAGCATAATAATTAAGAGAAAGGACTCTGAGCCTGATTGATTGGGTTTATCTGACAATTCCACCACTCTAGCTGCGTGACATTGGACAAATATTGGACAAATCACTTAACCTCTCTTTTTGAGTTCCCCTATCTGTAAAATGGGAAAATAACAATACATATTTCAAAGGGCTGTTGTGAGGTTTAATAATGTTTTACTGCATGTGAAGAAGTTAGAACGGATCTTGGCACATAATAAGTGCTGCATGGGTACTATTTATTACTATTATCATCTTCCTCACCATCATCATCATGATGTCTGAAACTCCTTGTTGAATTGTAGAAAATGCAAACCTAACGTGCAGTTACCAACTGCAATAAAGCTTGGGGAAAGCATTCCTGGAAGAGCTTGACATATCCCCTTGGGTTGCAGACTTATAGAAACATAGAAATTGATACATGCTCATGCTATATAAGGTATAAATGAAAATATCCCAAATTTTTCTAACTTGGGGTGGGTGGAGAAGGAGGACACTTGGAAAAAGTGTTAGCTTTATTTGTAATATCCTAAAGCTGGAAACAATCTAAATGTCCATAAACAAATCAGATAAACAAATTGTGGTATACGGATTACTCAGCAATAATAATGAATAAACTATTGATATATACAACATAGATGAGTCTCAAAATAATTATCCTGAGTGAAAGCACAACAAAAATATTAAAAAGAGAGTATATACCATATGATTCCATACCTTTATAAATTTATATTTTTTTCTAGAAAATGCAAGCAAGTCTATAGTGACAGAAAGCAGATCAGTGATTGCCTGAGAAGGACATGGAGAGAAAGGAGGGAGGCATGAGGAAACTTTTAGGGATAATGGATATGTTCATTATCTTGATGGCAGTAAAAAATTTACTGGTGTAGACATATGTCACATTGTATCAAATTGTATAGTTTGAATGTGTGCAGTTGATTGTACATCAATCCCATTTCAAGAGAACTGTTAAAAAATTCATAACTTCAGAATGTTAGGTTCATGGATGTTGTTTATCAAGTTGAAGAAGTTCCCAACACTTCCTAGTTTGCTGGGAGTTTTTATCAGAAACGGATATTGGATTTTTTTTCTAATGCTTTTTCTCTGCCTATTAGATGAACATGTGGTTTTCCCTTTTTTAGTTTGTTAATATGGTGAATTACATTGATTTATAGATGTTAAGCTTTCATTCTTGGTATAAACTCCACTTAATCATGAGGCAATATCCTTTTTATAAATTGTAGGATTCAATTTACTATAATTTTGCTTAGAATTTCTGTTTTTTTTGGGCCGGCCCGGTGGCGCACTGCTACAGTGCGCCGCTTGGGAAGCGCGGCGGCGCTCCCGCCGAGGGTTCGGATCCCACATACAGACCAGTTCCCGCTCACTGGCTGAGCGAGGGGCGGGCGCAGCG